GACGCATTCTAGACACTCACATACGCACATCCACGGTCATCAAGCAACCCATTCCTCTGCGGCGGGCGCTTTCCCCGGACCCTCTCTTGTACATGGCATTAGGGGGGGCAAGGAGGTGAGGTGAGCTGCCTGCCTACTGAAATTATTCCCCATAGTCGAAGGAGCCCCCTTTCTCTTTCGCTGCTTTCGCCGCGGGCGAGAGTGCTTTGTTACCTGTCATATTCCTACCGAAGAAAGCGGGACGTTGCTCGAAAAGCAGCAGCAGCGAAAGGTGTCTTGTCTAGTGGGCTCGGGGGACTTGCTGCAAATCACCTTTTGTATGTACTATCTCGACGGGGGTGTTGATCGTATGTACGTGGTACGAAAACCGTTTATCAGAGATGTGTGCAACCACACTCCATCATGGTTCCGCACCTCGAGTCTCGGCGGTTCTGGTTAGTAACAGGTATTATAGGCCCACCACGGTCAGATGGCCGGGCAGAGGCTGGGGGGGGGGGGCACAAGATTTCGCAAAGATAGACGACCTAGGCAGTCGACAGCGACGCTCCTCCTCCGCCTTTGTAACAGAGGATGAGAGGTATCCGTCCACCGCTCACGAGCGATCCTCTCCTTCTCGCCCCCTTTCGCTGACAGCGGTCCTTACCTATAACTGCGGTTACCTCGAGGGATGACTGACCCCAGATTTCACCGAGATCGCGATCTTATGCAGCATCATCATCATCGTCACTGGACCCGGCTTCGCTCCGGCGCCTGCATTTCCATCCCATCCAAGCGGCGGCCGGCTCTAGAGCATGTATGTAGGCAGGCTCGGCAGGCTATCTACGACCCTTTTTGCCTCAGCCTTAGGGACCAAGTTGGCCATCTCCAGCCGACCGTTGCCGCGACTTGGGGTTGCTTTTTCCCGTCAACCTTCTTTTCATTCCTTCCCTTGATCGACGGCCCCATCTCGAGGAAGGGAGCCGGCATATCCGTCCCGTGTAGTACGAAAGTATGCCATCTATATGACGGAGGCCTTTGCATCTCTCGAGGACCAAGTTTAAATCAGTCGCGCTCATGGCCCGTTCCTGATATGTTCCTCTGGGTAATATACGGTACCGGCCGGATAGGCTGCCACCCGTGTCCACGCAGGGAGGTACCTGGTAGTAGGTAAGGTATATCCTTCGACGACGACGACGCCGCTCTCGCTCTCCTCCCGCCGCCAGGCAGGCAAACAGTAGTACGGCGAAGATGCAGCGACCCGAGCCAAGTCATCCCAGAGCCTACCTCGGATCGCGACTCCCGGTACAGATGACGGGAAAAGAGCCTGTGCATGCGGTTTCGTATATATAAATATAGCAGACGCGCGGGAGCACCTACGAGTTCCCGCGGTAATCCACCTGTGCTCTGCGCCGCCACGCCGTTGCGCCGCCTTGCCTTGCCTTACCGATGAGCAATAGGAAGGTAGATTGTAAAGCGAAGAGGGCGAAGAAGGGAAGAAAAGAGACGTGTCGTTTTATTTAACTTTCCCTGTCCTGAGCAACTCGACCCGATCTCGCCAAATCCCAATGCAATCTTGCAGAGAGGCTTTTTTTTCATGTCCTCCCCTTCGATCTTCCTTTTCCCACCCTCCTCTCTTTTCTCTCCTTTTTTTCTTTCTTTATTTTCTCCGCTGAGTCTCTGACCAATCCTGACCGTCCACATGCGCGACGCCCCGAGGCCAATGAGACGGGTGCTATCCGGGTGATTGCATGACCGATAGATCTCGAATCATCTAGCTCCATACGGGGTGCGAAGTACATACATGAGGGGGGAAGACCCGACAACTCGCCTTCCCGGCCTGCCAGCCTCTCCTCAGGTATTCCCGTCTGGGTCGTATGCTAGGCGTATATAGAAAGATAATGACGCAAAGTGACAGCCTCCTTCGCTACTTACTGCCCTAATCCGTCCATCCATCCTGAATGCGTGGCGACCAAGACCCGGACCGTAATGAAGTTCCGTTCTAGACCCGAGATCAACGGACATGTCGCTTGCTTTCGTCTTTCCTACGCCCTTGCGTATCTCGCTGCACCTACCGAGCCTATCCGCGCGTATCATTGGGCGACTCTCTACTGCTGCTGGGAAACGGAAAAGTCCCAGAACCCTATATCTTTCTTGACCGGTTTCAAAACTTGGGGCGCCACGTAACGTGATATGTGACAGGTCGTTCGGTTAGGGCTAGGCATCAGAAGAGAAAGAGGGCCAATGGGCAGATGGTACGGGGAGCCGAGGGGAAAGGCCTCTCTCTCTCTCGCAACACCCCCTCGTAGCATTTCTATCGTGACAGATCCCACCCCTCGGTTTTCCGACAGAAGGAAGATAACCAACGAACGAGGATGCGCGGCAGGCAAAGCTGACGTAGGAGTGGTGAACTTAGTCAGAACAACCTTCTGGGCTCGCGACGCGAGCTTGCGGAGTCTCTTCCATCGACGAGACATTGCCAGCCCGTTCCGTTACCTTGCCGTCCCCGAGCTGGGTTACTGTGCGCTCCTGCGCGCTGCTGCTACCTTATCCAGGCCATGTAATGTATGTGCATAGCTCGCCTCGCCTCGCCCGCCTGCCTGCCTACGACCACGACCATCTATAGTCCGGTACTCTATAGGTGATTACCATGCAAGATATGCGTCGCCTTGGCGGCGACCTATCTCAGATTCGGCACTTGCACGTTGCTTTGCTGAAACGTCGCGCAGCCAAAGAGGGCAATCGAAGGGGGGGGGGCCTCAGAGCCATGAGCGGCCTCGCCTTTTCCTTCTCTTCTTCTTCTTCTTCTCCTTTTTCTCCTCTCTGCTTCAGATTGATTAACCGCCGTACGGTACCTGTCCGTCCTCTGCGGCCGTCGCTCGTGTGGACGCTTGGCGACGCGTCGGCTCGCAGCTTGCCTTATCGAGCCTCTCTCTTACTTACTCATCTGCGGCCTGCGCGCCCGTCCTCGCAGACGCAACCCAAGACGCCGGCTCTCGCGGTTCTCCCGACCGTGGTAGACCCAGAAATCCGAGAGCCGCCGTCGCAAATGATGGGATGCGGTCTGGAAAGCACTCCCCCCCCACCTGCGATGATACGTCCAGCTTGGGACATGTCCGGACGCATGTCGTGAGAATCGGGTGATATGCGGGAGTGAGCCTGACTCTTGTCCAGCAGACCATAGGAATGGGATCAAGCTTGCCGACTGCCTATCCATTCCATCTGGGGATCGGGCATCTGCCCAAGGTAGTAGGCTGGACTAGGGAGAGCTGCAGTGAGAATCTGACATGACAGCACAGAAAGGCGTGTCTTTGGCGGCTCGGTGGCCGGAAAGGGGCAGCCAAGGCTGGGTTGTTGGTGTAATAGCGCTGCTAGCAAGAGTCTGCAAGAATGCATGTCCATGTGGCGGAAGCCGATATTGCCATCTACTTGAGGCTAGATTTAGAATGCAGGTATCGTGGCTAGCCTTGTCGGTTGTAAGGACGACGTCTATGATGCCAATCTAGGTATCTATCTCCTGAGATATGACTACACAGCATAGCACCTGACGATCAAAGGTAGGACCTCATGAATCAGCCTCGGAATGCGAGTTCACGAGGCGTAATCAGCTTGATGCATAATCAGAGGTAATGCTATATCATAGCTTCCACCTATCCATTGCTTATAGAGCTCTAGACTGAATGACACATCAGCGCCGTGGGAGTTCTTCTCACTGAAGGCACCAATATATCTGATAGTGACAATGTGATAGTGACAATGTTTAACAATTGCCAGCCATAGTTTAGGCATATTTTACGAAGTCACTTTACCTATCGGTAATATATTTGGTTTTTGATACATTTAATTTGGATGATAGTGATGACCTCTCATTGGGTCCGCTCTAATCGTAACATGTAACTCCCAACCATTACCAATCACATACTGACATGTACTGATACTATAACTGATACAGGGAACATTGTAGAAATTGCTTTGCAATACCGTTCTTACCTAGCTACTAGGGTACATATTTCATGGAATGTAGTCACTAGTAGAACCGGCGTAATATTCAACTTTGATGACAGGACCTCATTATACAACGCTATGCATAAGGAAAGAATCTCGTTAGCGCAAAGATCAACTATGTAACCTCTCCAGTTAGCTGTGAAATGCTATACAGGAATGAATACACGGTAGCTTGGCTTCGTTATGAAGTAACATTACACGGCTATCCCAAGCAATGAGGAAATGGGTCTATTATTCAATGGGGAGATATAAATATGATAACTCCTAGAGTCCACGTAGATTCCTAGAGTATGAAGAAAAACAGGTCATTCTCAGGAGACCCAGACTGCTGTCGGTCATTTCCTGTATCCATCATAGGTGTAGTTTTTGCTTCATGGCCAGGGACTGTGTCCTGACAAGAATACACGAGTGGCTACGGTACTTCACTGGTAGGTTGCATCAACCAGAGGGCGACCACACTAGCAGGGAATCCCTTTTACACAACTACCACTCGTCTGCCTTGAGTGTGGCAATGGCTGAGTTCTTGCAAAGTTGGAACCTGAAAAAAGGGGGGCATCTTGGGTATGGATTTGAAGATGAGTAAACTGTTGAAAGATTGCCAGATATCATAGCCGATATGACAGAGGATAATGCAAAATCCATGATCAAGAGCCACCTTCATATAGAAAGGACAGAATTGGAAGTCAGTGCAGGCGGACTTAGGTCCCCTAAGAGTGTTGATACTATTCGCAGTTACTCCATTGCGAATCGCTGCCTCTTTTCTTGGCATCAAGGCTAGAAGGATTTTTGCAAAATAAAGGCAAAAGAACTTCAGAAACCAATCAAATATAGCTAACTTGTATTCAGTGACAGATTGATATTGAAGTGCTATGATTTGGGGTGGACTTGATACTTGATTCTGCCTGAGAGGAAAAGAGGTGGGTATAGCCGGTGACTAAGCTAAATTAGGCCAGTCTCTTGAGCTAGGGTATATGTACATGACTAACGTAATATGAATCTCAACAGCCAATGTTCACACATCCTCGGTGGCGCAATTGGCTAGCGCGTCTGACTGTTACCATCCGTCAAGGAGGTTGCCATCAGGAGGTTGAAAGTTCGAGCCTTTCCCGGGGAGTGATTTCTCTTTTGCATTTTCGTCGCATGATCCATCCGACAATATTATGCTTTTCGCTTTTTATTTTTCTCCTAATAACACACTAAAGTTTTTCAAGGATACACTTTTTAATAACGTGGTTTAAATCGGCCTGTGAGATGCTCTATCTGGCATCAAGGAGGCAAGTACCAAACCATTTGCCCCTGAGTCTTGAGCTGCATCGCTGACAGATTGTAGGCGATGAACCGTCTCGCCTAAGCATAGGAAGCTGCGTGAGAACCAAAGTGGCGTACTGGGTTTTCATATAGAAGTACAGCACCCGCGAACAGTGGCCGAGATTATCTCGTGGCTGCGGTTTGGACGTGTAGATGGCATGTCTAGCCTAACCTCAGCGGCGAGCAGCCTGCTCACCCAGGCTATTTCCGGTGACCAGAGCACTGTGCTCTACGATGCCATGCTCTGCCACTCGGGATACCCAGGCCATTCGCGGATCATTCGGCAGTGACGTAGGAAACAAAAAGGAAACGAGACTCCCCCGGATAGGTTCGAACTATCAACCTCCTGATTACTACTCGCTCACACGTAACAGTCAGACGCGCTGCCTATTGCGCCACAGGGGACTGGTATTCTGGGGAGCCCGCAAATGATTGCGGGTGCTGTTTTCGCGCATACGCAGTTTACTGAAAACAAGCATCTAATAGTTAAGCAAGAGGCGTAGTGTGGAGTGGAGCTCGTAGGGCCAGGGCTAGGCTAGTTGTGCTTGCAGACCGAACCTGCCGCACGATCTGGCTTGTCGGGAGACGTGTAGTCTTCTTCGTAGGATACGGGGAAATGGGTAGACGGGGGTATGACAAGTGTTTGCCTCGTCGCCAACGCGAGGTGGCATGTCTTTGCAGTATCACTACCTGTCACCTGGATAGCGCTCAAAGAAGAATCAGGGAACAGCATGAAATTATCTCTAATATCTACACCTCAGCCAGCGTGAACCGTTCCTGTGCCGTCCTGTATATGCATCTATTCCGAGGAAGAAAAGAAAAGGAGAAAAAAGACTATTGCATATGTTGCTGCTCTGCTCGAGGCCATTTTCAGCTACCGACCAAGCCTTCTCAACCTGTCGTGACGCCCCTCGATTCTATCATCATGTCTCATGTCTCGTCGCTCAGCAAACCGCCCCCTATAAGAACCGCACCGCACCGCACGCCTGCTGATTAAGCACATCCGGCCATGCCGGTTCAAGATACAGACACGCGAATAAAAACCGGCATCGCGTCTCTCCGCCTATGTCGGCAACACCTTCTCCCATCACGACCTGCTAGTTCGATAGTAGGTAGAAATACGTCCTCAGACCCAGCGGCGCCTGCGCATCTCGGACTCGCCGCCCTCGGGGGGCGAGGGTCCGGGGAGGACCTCGCGGAGGATATCGTTGATGCCGCGGCCGGTGATGCGGACGTCCTGCCACTGGCGGGGGTATCCGAGGCTGCACTCCTCGAAGCGGACGCCGGCCTTCCAGTCGGTGCGGGGCACGTGGAGGTGCCCGGTGACGACGACCTTGGCGCCGAAGCGCGTGTGCCAGTCCTCGGTGACCTTGGTGCCGCACCAGAGGCTGAAGCGCGGCACCTTGGGGATGTAGACGAGGTCCTCGCGCAGCGGCCAGTGGTTGACGAGCACGTAGGGCAGGCCCTCGGGGTTCTCGGACGCCAGCCGCGCCTCGAAGCGCGCCACCAGCGCCCGGCACCACGCCTCGCGCGACGGGTGCGGGTCCGGGTGCAGCAGGAACTCGTCGGTGGCGACGGTGTCGGTCTCCTCGGCCCAGCGCAGCGCGCCCTCGCGCGGCACGTGCGCCGGCCGGAAGCTGTAGTCGTACAGCGTGAACAGCAGCGCCACCAGCACCGGCCCGCCCTCGCCCTCCCACCGCACGAACGGGTCCTCGGGCGTGTGCACCCCGTGCCGCCGCGCCACCTCCACGCAGAACCGGTACTTGGCCTCCCCCCGCAGGTCCGGCCGCGACGACGCCAGCGTGTACAGCTCGTGGTTCCCCGGCACCCAGAACACCTCCCCGAAGTTGCGCTTCCCGATCGTGAACGCCAGCTCCAGGTGCGCCTCCGTCTCGCCCACGTCCCCGCACAGGATCAGCCCGTCCTCCGGGTGCGGCTTGATCTCCTCGAGCGCCTTTCGGTTGTACTCGTACCCGAGGTGGAGGTCTCCGAGCGCGTAGAGCTTCATTGTTGTTCGAGGGTGGGGGCGCCGGCTGCTTTACTTCGCTTGCTTTGGGAGGGGCTCGCTGTCTTGGTCTTCTTTTCTTTTCTTCTCTTTTCAACGTTGTATTAGGTAGGCTAAGAGGTAAAAAAAAGGTAAAAGGATGGAATTAGGTCAAGCAAAAGAATGGCGGATGGATTGGAAAACGAGAGTCGATTTCCGGACCGACCAGCGGATTCGCGGGATGGCGGATGAGGCACAAGGAGTTGCAATGCTCCGAGCGGCCAATTACATTTTGCTTACACCTAAAAGTCTCAGCGAGCTCCAGCACTGCTATTTGCTCCTGCCCAGCTCCCCAGCATGCCTCTTTCCCTGTGCTTCCGTCTGCGCCGTAAAAAAAAAAGTCACCCAGCTATCTGTGCCGCTAAAAGCTGCGTGGTTTACCTGGTTCACCTGCATTTATGGGGAATGATTGTCCCTGTAGTACAGGGGTTGTCAATTTGGCCTGTTCACCATTCATCTCGACCTGTTGAGCCTCAACATACACATTTGCAACTCCAATCTGAGTATTTTAGGGAATGCGAACCTAGGGATCTATTGTGGTCAAGGACTATATATACTCGCAGTCTCGTCTTGTCAATCCGAATGCCATTTCATCCGAGTTTTGCCATTTGCTCTTTTCCTTCAGTCTTGCTTCGTCGTCTTCGAGTCCTTGCGCTCAGATCTGCCACCCAGGTCTACCTCTTCAAAATCCGTGTTCCCTGGCTTGGCCTGACCTTCCAGCACACGGGCGTCGTGCTCTTGCAGCGAACTCCCACTCCCTAGGTCTGCCGGCCTGACCTTGTTCTTCATATGGGCACCGTGCTGTGTTCTGTGCTCTACAGTATAAGGGTCCGCCGATATCGCATCTGGCTCCAGGTGGGAAGCATCCATGTCGATGACATAATCTCCCGAGCTGCGTCTGGCGCCTCCAAGGCGTCGTCTTTCAAATCCAGTATAGGGCTGAACCTTTGATATCATATGAGATGAATGACCTTGCGATTGATTGTTGCCATAGTCGTCATCCGATCCTCCGTCCATTGACGAGAGCTCCTCTACTTCTTCCGGTACAGTCTGGCCCATGACACATTCACGCTCGAGATAGACGTCTCGAGGAAGTGTGCTATGCTGGTGCTCAAATCCACCTCCGTGATGGCTTAGTGGCCCAATATCTTCGAGCTCGACGCGGTCCTCATGCTCGCTGTCGTGGCTGCGCCTGCTTCTCGCGCTCCTCTTGCTCACTTTTCTGACGATACCACTAATATCGTCGATGAACTCATTGCGTCTTCGCCCGAGTTCATCACGAGCCAGGTCGACCGTCTGTCGGTTAAGATGAACCCCTTCGTCAATCAGCCGGTTGCTCTTGCGGATTTCACTCCACCGAGTCAGAGAACCCAGCTCTAGGATGTTCATTCGACGGAACTTTTCGGTCGGATTACCAAGGATGAACGGTCTCTAGCCCACGTCTTCCTCACGAATTTCAGAAACGTCCTTGAGACCGCTGGCTTTGGCGGCAGCGATTGCTGAAGCGCGGCGTCGGAGACTGTCTCGCCGTTCTTCCGTCCACCTGTCCATTTCCATGCTCTTCGAGTTGGGAATAATCTGCAGCCTTCGAAACCTGGCAAATACGGCTAGGAGGAGGACAGAGAGCATAAACAAAATGGACGCCACAATTCCCGTTGCAGCTCTCTGCCCTAGACTCCGCGTAGCGATGCCGCCAATACCTGTCGCGCCTGCGGCGAAAACAAAGCCAATGCTGTGGATGGTATTCCATCCAGCCGTGACGCGAGGGAAAGACGAATAGTTGGTGCATTTCCCGCCGTCTGTTCCCGACTTCGAACGACCAGTCATGCCTGGCTGCATGTCAGAGCAGTCCCATGCCTCCATCAGTATGCCGTTGCATTCAGCTATGGCAAGACACGACAAGAATCCAATGGCCGCCGCGAAAAGGCATGGGAAAACGAGATGCACCGGGGGCCCGGATGAGACGATCGTGTAAAAAATCCCAGCAATGGGGAGCACGATGACGAAAATCGCTCGTCGAACGAGGTGTGAGGTCCACGTCACCTTTCTGTCAAAGGTCATGCTGTTGGTCACTGGCCCTGTAGAGCGCGATCGCGAAAAGATGTTTGCCATCTGGAATGGCACCGCCGCGAGTGCGCCGACCGCGACAGACGATACCGCAGCGCCAACGAACGGAGACCGAAAATGATAGTGCTTTGATGTCAATGAACCCAGAAGCTACACGGCATACAGTTAGCGTAAATCAGTTGTTAGGAAGGGAGGGTTGGCTTACGACAATGATGAGAACGACCTGAGCATATATCCACGCAGAGTACACAGCCATGATAACGAAGCCGGGCTGGCGAAGCATTTCCAGGGAGAGAGCAACGCCGTGGTACATCTCCTGCCCCCACCATTTCGGACCGTCTTTGACTCGGTGCATCATGATCTCACCACGCCCTACTCTCCGGGACACCTCCGAACCCATCTTGACTTCGGCCACAGAGTATCTCCAAGCTGATCGTCGCACCTCCGGGCAGACGACATTGAGAAGAAGCACGACTGCTATTAGGATGATGCTGATGTAGAGGCCCCACGATGGCGGTAAGGTGTCAATCACCAGGGCGCCAACCAAGAAACCGATACCTAGTGAGCCGATGTAGCACCAAGTCCAAACTCCGAGCCAGATGCCGAGTCCACCGCCGTGTCTTCTCACGTCGTGGCGGTCAGCAACTTCCTGATGTGGGTTGCGGCTCATCAAAGATGCGCCAAAGAGGTCGGTT